TTGATATTATTAATACTAAAGATAATAATCAGGCTAGGTGTGGTAGCTCACACCTGTAATCCCAGCACTTTGGGTGGCTGAGGTGGGTAGATCACCTAAGGTCGGGAGTTTGAGACCAGCCTGGCCAACATGATGAAACCTTATCTCTACTAAAAAAAATACAAAAATTAGCCAGGCACGGTGGCGCATGCCTGTAATCCCAGCTCTGTGGGGAGCTGAGGCAGAAGAATCGCTTGAACCCAGGAGATAGAGGTTGCAGTGAGCCGAGATTGCTCCACTGCACTCCACCCTGGGTGATAGGGCGAGACTCCATCTCAAAATAAATAAAAAAAAAAAAAATTAATTTATTAATTAATGATAATAATCACCCCAGGGACATTTAATGAAGGCTTGCGCTGGGCATCAGTGCCTGGAATTCTGGCAACAACTCTGTGAGAGGATCACTCCCATTTCCAGAGGAATTTCAAAAGGGCTGAACAGCTGGCTGTGCTCCTCTGCTACTAATCCTGTGTGGTTTCCTGTGGGCTGGTCAAGCCCAGCTCACCTTGACCATGGGTGCCCCTTGCGCCTTGCACTCTTGCCCCACTGCCTTCTTTTAGTTGGCTCTGCCGCTTAAAAGCTGTGTGACCTTAGGCAAGTTACTTAACCTCTCTGTTTCCTCCTTTATAAAATGGAGATAATCCATAGTCCTTATTTCATAGACTAGTCCAGAGCCAACAAGTTAGTAAGTGTAAAGCACTTATAACCATGCCTAGCTCAAGGGAAGCCCATGTTTGTTATGATGTCATTATTATGCCATATTTCATCAAATCTAAGATGTTGATCAGACGTGGTGGTGCACGCCTGCAATCCCAGCACTTTGGGAGGTCAAGGCAAGCAGATTGCTTGAGACCAGGAGTTCAAGACCAGCCTGGGCAACATGGTGAAACCCCATCTTTACAAAAAATACAAAAGTTAGTTGGGTGGATGGTGGATGTCTGTGGTCCCAGATACTGAGGAGGATGAGGTGGGAGGATCCCTTGAGCCAGGGAGGTTGAGGCTGCAGTGAGTTGTGATTGCATCACTGCACTCCAGCCTGGGTAACAGAGATCCCGTCTCAAAACAAAAAACAAAAAAAACTAAGATGTCATCGATTATAAAAATGTCACTAAGAAAAAAGAATGCTGCCAGTTAACAATGTCCCAAGGTTCTTTCATCACTAGAATTTTTCTTTTATATTTCCCGAAAGAGCTCTGTTTGACTTAAATGTAGATTCTCATCATATATAATTCTCATGTACACATAAAAAGGATAATAGAAGCAAAATAAATTGGTTACCGTGTTCAGAAAACTCCTTCACATTTAGAGTCCGACTCGTGTGAATCATTTTTGGTCTGAGAGTCGTGATGTCTGTGTCTCCCTGCCACCTCCTTCTCTGAGCCCTTGAGAGTTCTACGGAGAGCAGTACTGCTCCAAACATTCCATAAAACAGCCATAAAACAGCCAGGAACTCTTAAGCCAGCTTTGCAACTGTGCAGAGGAAATGGAGCCGACTTTTCACTCTGCTTTGGGAGTGTCACTGACAGGCCAGGCATAGTGGCTCACCCCTGTAATCCCAGCACTTTGGGAGGCCAAGGCGGACGGATTGCCTGAGGTCAGGAGTTCGAGACCAGCCTGGCCAACATGGTGAAACCCTGTCTGTATTAAAAATACAAAAAAGTATCTGGGTGTGGTGGCAGGTGCCTGTAATCCCAGCTACTTGAGTGACTGAGGCAGGAGAATCGCTTGAACCTGGGAGACGGAGGTTGCAGTGACCCGAGATTGATTGCACCACTGCACTCCAGCCTGGGTGACAGGCAGAGCAAGACTCTGTCTCAAAAAAAAAAAAAAAATGGCTGCATGTAGTGCCTCACGCCTGTAATCCTGGCACTTGGGAGGCTGAGGGGCGGGATTACGAGGTCAGGAGATCGAGACCATCCTGCCTAACACAGTGGAAACCCTGTCTTTACTAAAAAATAAAAAATCAGCCGGGCATGGTGGCGGTGCCTAGCTACTTGGAAGGCTGAGCGGGAGAATGGCGTGAACCCGGGAGGTGGAGCTTGCAGTGAGCCGAGATCATGCCACTGCACTCAGCCTGGGAGACAGCGGGATTCCGTCTCAAAAAAAAAAAAAGAAAAAAAAAAGGGAGTGTCACTGACACACTGACAAGCCTGGTTCTCTTCCCCTGGGGATTCCCACCATTTGGGTCCCAGGGCTAAAAAGGGCTCCACTTGCTCTAGGATTTCTTCCAAGCTGCTGACACTCTTCTGAAGGATTTGATGCTGGCGCTTTTGAGGCGTGGGTCCTGACAGTGATGTTGGGACTGCAGTTAGCCAGACAGCAACTGTACCAGGTAAACTCACTTCAGAGATGTAGAATGGGGACTGCGTGTGGCAGCTCACACCCTGTCATCTCAGCACTTCAGGAGGCCAAGGCGGAAGGATCACTTGAGCCTAGGAGCTCGAGACCAGCCCAGCCAACATAGCGAGACTCTGTCTCTACAAAATACAAGCAAAAGAATTAGCCAGGTGTGGTGGCACACACCTGTAGTCCCAATACTCAGGAGGCTGAAGTAGGAGGATTGCTTAAGCCCAGGAGGTTGAAGTTACAGTGAGTTGTGATCTTGTAACTGCACTCCAGTTTAAGTCACAGATTGAGACTCTGTCTCTTAAAAAAAAATAAAAAAGTGAAATGTGAACATTAGGCATCTTGGAATAGATAAAACGTGCATAATTTCCAATCTTTATGCTGACTATACTTCCAGCTGCCTCACAGCAGTTGCACATTCTGTTCCTGCTGCCTGGAATACCCTCCCTTCCTTTCCACTTTGCTCTGTTAAGCCGGCCATCCCTGATCTCATGCCTCCTCCAGGATGCCTTCCCTGATCATCCTGCCAAGGTCAGATCCCCTCCCCTTCATAGCACCTAGTACGGCTACAACAGTCTCGAGTGTATAGAGGATGGGCTGGGGTGAGGTCACAGGAGTGATGCTCTCCCTTCTGTCTGGGGTTCAGAGGAGGCTTCTTGGAGGAGCATCTGAAGCAGACCTCCCAGGCTGGGGATGTGGTTTGGATAAGTTTGAGAAACACTGAAGGGAAAAGAAAGGACACTGTAGTGAGTGAAGCTTGGCATTTGGGAAGATGGGTGTGTGGGTGCCCAGACTCACCATGCAAGGCCCAGAGCCCTTTTGAGGCCCCAGGCTGGGGTCATCCTCTCCAGTTTCAGTTTGAGAAAACAAGGCCCAGAGAGGTGAAGCGCTGTTCCACCACTGTCCATGGAGCCAGGGGAGCTGTGGGCCTTCCACCGCCGACCTCTGGGCTAGCCCTGCGGAGATGCTGGGAGGATGCAGGGAGGTGAGGTGGGGGCTGAGGTAGGACTCAGACTGCCCAGGCCCGCCTGCACCCGGAAGAAGGAAGCTGCACAGGGTGTCTGTGGCTGGCCCCGGGATCCCCCACTCGGGGACTTCCTCTTCCTCTCAGGGCAGGTGCAGCTGCCACAGCGAGACGGGCACCCTGACCCGGGCATGGAGGGGGGCAAGGGGCCCAGGCTCAGAGACTTCCTGAGTGGGAGTCTGGCTACCTGGGTGAGGGGAGAGGTGGCAGCGGGTTGGGGAGGGGAAGTGAGCCCCAGCCAGGGGCTGGTGTTGGGGCTGGCTGGGGGGAGGGTTGGGTTCAAATGTAGGGGATGGAGATATGGTGGGGGGAGGCTGTAGTGAGGGAAGAGGGCCCAGAGGCACTTAGAGGACTGGTGAGAAGGGGTGCTTGGGCTCACTGGGGCACGTCGGAGGGGCTCAGGGTTCACTCTTCTGGTCAGCCGACCCCTCTGGGCTCCTCACAGGCGCTAGGACTGGCCGGGCTGGTCGGGGAGGTGGAGGAGTCGGAGGGGGAAGAAGAGGAAGAGGAGGAAGAGCGGCCCCTTTGGCTGGAGAAGAGGTTCCTGCGCCTCAGCGATGGGGCTCTGCTTCTCCGGGTGCTGGGCATCATGTAAGGGGCATCGGGCCGGGGAGGTGGCAGGGAAGGATCCGAGGGGAGGGGAAGTGGGTGGGCGGAGCCTGATGGGCAATGGGCGGGGCCTGTTGACCGGAGGAGGGTCCTCGATTCCACCTCCTGCCTATAGTGCCCCCACCTCCCGAGGGGGGCCTCGGATGCTCAGAGGCCTTGACGGACCTGCTGCCTGGCGAGTGTGGAACCTGAACCACCTGTGGAGCCGACTGAGGGACTTCTACCAGGTAAGGGGTCTCGAGCGAAAGGCGAAGACGGGATGGGAAGGGGAGCCCCTTCGGGAAGGCCCCTCATATAGTCTGCCCCTCTGCCTCCAGGAGGAGCTGCAGCTGCTGATCCTGTCGCCACCCCCAGACCTCCAGACATTGGGGTTTGACCCCCTCTCAGGTGCTCTTCCCATCCACCCCCTCCTGCCTCTGCCCCCGCACTACTCTACCTTCCCTGCCCCAGTTAACCCCTTGTGACATGTGCCTTGCAGAAGAAGCGGTGGAGCAGCTGGAAGGCGTTCTTCGGCTACTGTTGGGAGCGTCAGTACAGGTGAGCTGGCGGTGGGAAGGAAAGGCTAGGGTCGAGCTTTGGCGGCAGAGGAGAGAGATCCTGCACCAGCTCCCCTTCCTGTTGCCCCTCAGTGTGAGCACCGGGAACTCTTCATCCGCCACATCCAGGGCCTCAGTCTCGAGGTCCAGAGCGAGCTGGCCGCTGCCATCCAGGAGGTATTGAGACGGGTCGGCAGCCCAGACTGGTATGGCGCCTGGGACGCCCTTGCCGTACCGCGTCTTCCACTGAACTGTTCTCCTTGCGCCCCAGGTGACCCAGCCAGGGACCGGCGTGGTGCTGGCACTCTCTGGGCCAGAGCCTGGGGAGCTGACACTTGCCGAGCTGGAGATGCTGTCCCGGAGCCTGATGGGGACACTGTCGAGGCTGGCGCGGGAGCGTGACCTGGGGGCCCAGGTAGGGGCAGCAGGGGCATCGTGGACTCAGACTGAGGAACTGGAGGACCATCAGGGGGCCGGTTGTGCAAGGGAGATGGAAGTTTGGGGCCCAGGCATGGGGTTGTGGTCTGAGGTCTTGGGCCATCGGGGCTGTCACAACCAGATGGCCCAAGACCCCAGACCACAACCCCATGTCTGGTGTTGTGGTTGGGGGTCGATGTGCAGAGGCGTTGGATAAGTTAGTCCTGACCCTTGACCCCGGACCTACAGCGGCTGGCTGAACTGCTGCTGGAGCGAGAACCCCTCTGCTTGAGGCCTGAGGCTCCCTCTAGGGCTCCCGCCGAGGGCCCCTCGCACCATCTGGCCCTGCAGCTGGCCAACGCCAAGGCTCAGCTGCGGCGTCTGCGGCAGGAGCTGTGAGTGTGCGCAGCCTGGGAAGGGGAATGAGTGGAGAGGGGCAGATTAAGCCTGGATGAGACCCTAGCCCTGGTGGGGCCAGGCTTGGGAAGGGCTGGGGGTTGTGGGCCCCCAGACCCTCTCCAGCCTCCCCTTCCCTCCAGGGAAGAGAAGGCCGAGTTGCTGCTAGACTCCCAGGCCGAGGTGCAGGGTTTGGAGGTCGAAATAAGAAGGCTCCGCCAGGAGGTGCGCTCACATGCTCCCCGCCACCGCGGTATTCCCTAACCTCCTCGCACCCGGTCCTATTGCCTCCCTCCCAACCCGGCTCCTTCCCGTCCCTAATCCCTCTGGCCCGCGGCTGGCTGTTGCCAGCTCCACACTGTCTGGCCCAGGCCCAGGCGCTGTCGGGACAGGCCAAGCGGGCCGAGCTGTACCGCGAGGAGGTAGAGGCGCTGCGGGAGCGGGCCGGCCGCCTGCCCCGCCTGCAGGAGGAGCTGCGGCGCTGCAGCGAGCGGCTGCAGGCGGCTGAGGCCTGCAAGAGTCAGCTGGAGGTGAGGCGGAGGCGGGGCCGCGGGGCAGGGCGTGCGCAAGGGGGCGGGCCAGGAGGAGGAGCGAGATTGGGTCCCGAGGGGAGAGAGGCAGATTCTCTGGAGGTGACAGTCACGGGTGGAGAAATGGGTGAGGACAAATTCAGGGAGGAAGCGTCTAGAAAAGGGCCTCCGGAGGATGGGGCAGGTGGAGGGGAGAGGTAGCCTTGGAAGGAAGGCGGTTCCTGGGGGGGAGGGGCGGGGCATGGACAGAAGGGCGGGGCCTGCACAAAGGGCGGGGCCAGGGGTGGGGGAGAAAGTACCTGAAGAAACCTCGGAGAGAAGATGGAAAGGAGTGGCGGGGCCTAGAGACTGATGGGGTGCAGGGTGTGGGAGGGAGGCAGGGTCTGTGACAGGCCGAGGGGAAGGAGTTTGGAACCCTCAGGCCCTGGAGTGCATGGGAGCTGCATGGCTACCAGTTCTCCCTGCTCTCTCACCAGGAGGAGCGGGTGCTCTCAGGGGTGCTGGAGGCCTCCAAGGCGCTGCTGGAAGAGCAGCTGGAGGCTGCCCGAGAGCGCTGCGCCCGGCTGCACGAGACCCAGCGCGAGAACCTGCTGCTGCGGACCCGGCTGGGCGAGGCCCATGCGGTGAGGTCACCAGAGTGATCCCAGCTGGGTTGCCCCATCACCCCGTGGCCCCATTGATTCCCTAGGGGTCAATCCCTAGTGATTCCTGCAACCTCTGCTCTTGGTGACCTCTAGTGACCCTCCGACCTACACACTCGGCCTGGCCATGGTGTGGAGGGCTTGTCTGACTCTACCCTCACCCCCAGGAACTGGACTCTCTGCGGCATCAGGTCGACCAGCTGGCTGAGGAGAATGTGGAGCTGGAGCTGGAGCTTCAGCGGAGCTTGGAGCCGCCCCCAGGATCCCCTGGGGAGGGTGAGGGACCCCAGTGGAGGGGTTTGGGTGGGAGCTGCCTGTGCTTTCCAGCAGGTGTATTGGGGAGAGCCTCTGACTTCCTCCCTTCCCCCAAGCCTCTGGGGTGTGTATGTGAGGAGCCAGGCAGTAAGGGAGGAGTCCTGACCTCATCTCTCATCCTCAGCACCCCTGCCAGGAGCAGCCCCCTCGCTGCAAGATGAGGTGAGGGAGGCAGAGGCTGGGCGGCTTCGGACCCTCGAGAGAGAGAACCAGGAGCTTCGGGGGCTGCTTCAGGTGCTTCAGGGGCAGCCAGGGGGCCAGGTGAGTCCCCTCCCCATGGTCCTGGCTGGCCCTTCCCCTAGTCCCTCCTTGCGCCTGACTGTCCCTCTCCTATGCCCTCAGCACCCCCTGCTGGAGGCACCGAGAGAGGACCCTGTGCTTCCAGTGCTGGAGGAGGCTCCCCAGACTCCTGTGGCCTCCGACCACAGTCCCCAGGGCTTGGCTCAGAAGGCAAGGGATGGAGGCCCCCAGGCCTTGAACTTGGCTTCCCCAGCATCAGACTCAGTGCTCAAGGGGTCAGCTGAGTGTCCCCAGGCACCTGATTCGGACCCACAGGAGGCAGAGAGTCCCCTTCAGGCAGCTACTGTGGACCCCCAGGCCTCAGACTGGTCCCCCCAAGAGTCAGACTCTCCTGTGGAGACACAGGAGTCCCCGGAGAAGGCTGGCTGTAGATCCTCTCTCCAGAGCCCTGCCTCTGTGGCCCCACCTCAGGGTGCAGGGAACAAAATTCAGGCCCCGCAGTTGCTGGGAGGAGAGACCGAGGGAAGAGAGGCTCCCCAAGGTGAGTTGGTGCCTGAGGCCCGGGGGTTGAGACAGGAGGACCCTGAGCACAAGCCAAGGCCTTCGGAGCCCAGCTCTGTGCAGCTGGAGGAGCAGGAGGGCCCCAACCAGGGCCTGGACCTGGCCACGGGACAAACAGAGGCCAGAGAGCATGACCAGAGGCTGGAGGGGATGGTCGGGAACCCAGCCTGGCAAAAACCACAGCAGAAGTCAGAAGGGGCTCTTGAGGTCCAGGCCTGGGAGGGCCCAGTCACGGGGGAGAGCCTGGCCAGTGGTGTCGCAGAGCAGGAGGCGCTCAGGAAGGAGGTGGCACAGCTGAGGAGAAAGGCTGAGGCCCTTGGAGCTGAGCTGGAAGCCCAGGCCCGCAAGCTGGAGGCCCAAGACATGGAGGCTGCCCGCCTCTCCAAGGAACTGGCCCAAGCGCGAAGGGCAGAGGCCGAGGCCCACCGGGAGGCAGAGGCCCAGGCCTGGGAGCAAGCCCGGCTGCGGGAGGCAGTGGAGGCTGCCGGCCAGGAGCTGGAGGCTGCGTCCCAGGAACGGGAGGCGCTGGTGGAGGCACTGGCATCAGCGGGCCGGGAGCGGAGGCAGTGGGAACGTGAGGGGTCCAGGCTGCGGGCCCAGTCAGAGGCCGCCGAGGAACGGATGCAGGCGCTGGAGAGTGAGGGCCGCCAGCACCTGGAGGAGGCTGAGAGGGAGCGCCGGGAGAAGGAGGCCCTCCAGGCGGTAGGTCAGGTCGGGGCTCACAGCCGGGGTTGGGAAACAGGGTTCCAGGCTATTGGGAGTTACTGATTCCATCAGCAGCTGTTCAGTGGGTGCCCAGCACCAAGCTGGGGCTGGAGATAGAAAGGCCAAGACCAACCCTGCCTTCCAAAGGTGTGCCTGGCCTGGGGCACAGAGCCATGTCCACTGTGTGATGGGGCACTGTGGGAGGGGGTGAGATTGCCCAGTGCACATCTTGACTGTCTGGCTGCAGCAGTCAACTCACCTCCACTCCAGTCCTCCTTCTGTAAAACAGAGGTGCTACTCCTGGCCAGCTGGGCCCGTCTTAGGGAGGACCTCGGGAGACAGTAGCTGTAAAGGTTCATGCCGGCAAGGGTATGTTGTAAGTGTTCAAGCACTGGTTATTCAGAGCCAACTGCTACGAGAGCCCGTGGGAGGGTGAGCTAATGCCTAAGTGGAGGCAAGGAGGCTTTAGGAGGAGTGACCACAATATCACTAGGTGGGGAGGACATTTTGTCCAGAAGGAATGGCATGTGCAAAGACAAAGGCATTAAAGACGCTCAGGGGCCAGGTGTGGTGGCTCACACCTGTAATCCCAGCACTTTGGGAGGCTGAGGCGGGTGGATTACTTGAGGTCAGGAGTTCGATAACAGCCTGGCCAACATGGCGAAACCCCATCTCTACTAAAAATATAAAAATCAGCCCGGCGTGGTGGCAGGCGCCTGTAATCTCAGTTACTTGGGAGGCTGAGGCAGGAGAATTGCTTGAACCCGGGAGGTGGAGGTTGCAGTGAGCTGAGATTGTGCCACTGTACTCCAGCCTGGGCAACAGAGCGAGACTCTGTCTCAAAACAAACAAACAAACAAACAAACACCATCCAATGAAACAACAACAAAAAAAGAATGCTCAGGGCTCAGGAGGAAGGGGAGATGAGGGCCAGCTTTGAATGTATTGGTCCTGCCTCCCCAGGCAGGGAAAGCCAGCGCAGAACTGTGTGGGGCTAGGCTTGAGGAGGGTCCCCTTGGTGGACAGGGGAGCTTGGGGTTATCAGGAGGCAGTGGCCATGGTGTAAGTGGCAGAGGAAGCTGACTAGGGCGGCATGGGAGCGGGGGTGAGAGAAGGACTGGACGCTTTTTTCTGTTTGAGACGGAGTCTCACACTGTTGCCCAGGCTAGAGTGCAGTGGGGCGATCTCGGCTCATTGCAACCTCCGCCTCTCAAGTTGAAGAGATTCTCCTGCCTCAGCCTCTTGAGTAACTGGGACTACAGGCACACACCACCATGCCTGGCTAATTTTTGTATTTTTAGTAGAGACCGGGTTTCATCACGTTGGCCCAGCTAGTTTCCTTTTTTTTTTTTTTTTTTGAGACGGAGTCTCACTCTGTCACCAGGCTGGAGGCGCGATCTTGGCTCACTGCAACCTCCACCTCCCAGGTTCAAGAGACTTTCCTGCCTCAGCCTCCCGAGTAGCTGGGACTACAGGCATGCGCCACCATGCCCAGCTAATTTTTTAAATTTTTAGTAGAGACAGGGTTTCACCATGTTGACCAGGATGGTCTTGATCTCTTGACCTCAGGTGATCCGCCCACCTTGGCCTCCCAAAGTGCTGGGATTACAGGCGTGAGCCACCACGCCCAGCTGACACACTTTTACTTATTCATTTAAACATGTTTATGGGCATCTTCTTGGTGCCAGGCCCTGTACCAGGCTCTGGGCACACAGCGGTGACCAGGAAGCTAGCACTCCAGTGTTTGGGCATGGCTTCAGCTTCCTTCCAAGCTAAGGAAGGGGTTAGGGCTTTTGCCATGGGGGACTGCGCAGCCACTGAAGGCTCCCCAATGGGCAAAGTGAGCAAAATGGTCAGGTCTGCATGTGAAAAGGCGCCAGGAAGGGTGTTTGGGCCAGTGGGCCCCAGTGTTAGGGGACCTGTGAGATTGCAACACAGGTAGGGACTGAGTCCTCCTGCACAGGCAGTTTCCAGTCCCATTTCTGTACAGACAAGGACACTGAAATTCAGGGAGGAAGGGTAATTTGCTCAGAGACCCCTTATGAGGATGGGGGGTGGGGAGCACACTGCTGGGTAGATGTGGGGTCAGGTGTTGTGCAAGACAGGCCCAGGGTAAGGTGGTTCTGGTGAATGTGAGGGAAGGTGAGAGACCGTCTCTGGGGTCCACTCTGTGGGGTGTGGCTGAGATGCTGTCTGGCCCGGCAACCTGCCTACTTTCCAGCTGTGTGGCTTGGGGCAAGTTACTTAACCTCTCTGAGTCTCAGTTTTCTCGCCTGTAAAACTGGAATAAAAATTGTACCTGCTTCGGCTGGGCACGGTGGCTCATACCTGTAATCCCAGCACTTTGAGAGGCTGAGGCAGGCAGATGACCAGAGGTCAGGAGTTTGAGACAAGCCTGGCCAACATGGCGAAAACCCGACTCTACTAAAAATACAAAATTAGTCGGGTGTGGTGGCACACACCTGTAACCCCAGCTACTTGGGAGGCTGAGGCAGGAGAATTGCTTGAACCCAGGAGGGAGAGGTTGCAGTGAGCCAAGATCGTGCCACTGCGGTCCAGTCTGGGTGACAGAGCAAGACTCCTTCTAAAAAAAAAAAAAAAAAAAAAAAATTGTACCTGCCTCACAGGATCCTGTAAGATAATCAGCGTAGGGAGCTTGGGGCAATGCCTGGCACCTAGAATGGACCTGTTCCATGGGAGGGAATGCCAGCAGGTAGGCTGTGAAGGTAGGGTAGGGCTGGTGGGCTGGAAGAGCTGGCTCCAAGGACTGAGAAGGTGGGGGAAGCTGGGGACAAAGGGAGAATTTTGAGATTTCCTGGTTGGAGCAGGAGAAGGTGGCTGGCCAGGGCGAGGTCAGGGAACCAGGAGCCTCTCAGGTTGTCCACTGGGTGGGGAAGCCTCCCAGGCTGGGGGGAGGGGGCCCTAGGAGGGCTGTGGCCAGGGCCCAGAGGAGGGCAGGGCAGGGACTGGGCGGGAGGTTCTAGTCACTGTGCCTCCTACCCCAGTACTTGCGCTAGTGGCTGCCAGCCAGACAGGCAGCAGTGCCTCATGGGACTTGTAGTTTTTCAGGGAGAGGTGGTGGCCAAGGGTGTCAGGAGGTACAATGCCCCCTCGGCAAGGCCTAGGTACGGTTATTAATCCAGGAAGGTAGTTTTCAGCGGCAAGGCTTGTAGGCTTGTCTTCCAAGGCAGGATTTGGCTGGCAACTGGTCATGGGTGCTGTCCCTGAAGCTTCATCCTTCCAGGCCCCCCACGTGGCAGAATGGTTTGGTCTCCTTCCCTCTGGGGTCCGCAGGCCAGAATGGGCCTCCCATCTCCTTCCAAAGTGGTGCAGCCCAACTGCCAAAGGCCACAGGTCACCTGGCTGGCAGCATCCTGGCTCCCCCCCACCCCCTGAGCCCCCACTGTCAACTCCCGAATTCCTGTCCCGCCAGTCCTCCGTGACCTTTTCCCTGTAGCCAAGGTCTCTCACCAGACCCGCCTCTGCTGAGCCTCTCTAGCTGTCTAGCTGTCACATGGCTGGAGTGGCAGCCCACAGGGCGCGTCCACCTTTCACTGCGCACATGAAGAACCGTGGGCTCAGAGAGGTGACGGTACTTTCCCAATATGTGTCACTGACTCCCGGGCCAGGGGCCTTCCTCATGCCCTGCCAGGCTTACGAACCCCAACTCTTTCATGCCAAATTTCGAGGGCACCAGACTTTGCTCCCATTTTATAGATGGGGAAGTAGAGCCCAAAGGGCTAACGATACGTGCCCAGGATTGCAGGTCAAGGACAGAAAGGCAGCTCTCTTGACTCTCAGGCCTCTGTCTCCGGCTGTCCCCTGCCCCCTTGCCCTGAGTCTGCTCTGCCTGCCCTCAGGAGCTGGAGAAAGCTGTGGTGCGGGGCAAGGAGCTGGGGGCCCGGCTGGAGCATCTGCAGCGTGAACTGGAGCAGGCAGCTCTGGAGCGCCAGGAATTTCTGCGAGAACAGGAAAGCCAGCACCAGAGGTGGGGACAGGGCTGAGGGGAAAAGTGAGGGAGGCAGGGGTGTGGTGGGGTGAGCGTGGGGTGGGGCTGGGTGCCAAGGATTCTCCTGGCAGGTACCAGGGCTTGGAGCAGCGGCTGGAAGCTGAGCTGCAGGCGGCGGCGACCAGCAAGGAGGAGGCGCTGATGGAGCTCAAGACCAGGGCCCTGCAGCTGGAAGAGGAGCTGTTCCAGGTGATGCCTGATGGCCTGGGAGCTGGGGGCCATGCCACCCCGCTCTCCATCCCATGAGCAGATGCCAGGGTCGCGTGTGCTGCTGGTCTTGCCCCTGGATTCTTGGCTAGCTACTTGTATCACTCCCCATGTGGGGCCTGTTGGAGGGAGCACTGTGCTGGGAGTCAGGTGGCCGTGTTGACTTACCCGGGGTCTCATTTTCCCCATTCTGCACATGGACAGAACTTCTGCTGTGGATGACTGCTCCGCCTCTCTCACCCGGGGTGCACCACTGCCTAGGGAGCTCAGCGCTTGGCATCAAGGAAGTCAGTTATGGTTTCTGATGCCTGGGCTGTGTGTGGGCTCCATACGGAGGGTGGGGTGGTGGGGCCTAATCTCAGGCTGCCATCCTCAGGAAGCTCACAGTCCAGGCAGGATAGAGGCAACAGGTGATGATAACTAGGTGCCAGGGGCTGTGAGGAGGCCATACAGGGGCTTGGGAGGGTGCCACCCAGCAAGGTACCCAGCAGGTGCATGTGAGTCAATCAGGGGAGGTTTTGTGGAGGAGGTGGGGTTGAAACACAGGCTTAGAGGAGGCCCCGTGCAGCAACTCATGCCTGTAATCCCAGCACTTTGGGAGGCCAAGGCGGGTGGATCACCTGAGGTCAGGAGTTCGAGACTAGCGTGACCAATATGGTGAAATCCCATCTCTACTAAAAATACAAAAACCAGGCCAGGCGTGGTGGCTCAAGCCTGTAATCCCAGCACTTTGGGAGGCCGAGGCAGATGGATCACGAGGTCAGGAGATTGAGACCATCCTGATGAACACTGTGAAACCCCATCTCTACTAAACAAACACACACAAATTAGCTGGGCATGTTGGCGGGTGCCTGTAGTCCCAGCTACTTGGGAGGCCGAGGCAGGGGAATTGCTTGAACCCGGGAGGCAGAGGTTGTAGTGAGCCGAGATCGCATCACTGCACTCCAGCCCGGGCGACAGAGTGAGACTCCGTCTCAAAAAAACCCCACAAAAAACAAAAACAAAAAAACCAAAACAAAAAAACCCAAAAATTAGCTGGGCGAGGTGGCCCACATCTGTAGTCCCAGCTACTCGGGAGGCTGAGGCAGGAGAATTGCTTGAATCCGGGAGGCAGAGGTTGCAGTGAGCTGAGATCACACCACTGCACTCCAGCCTGGGCTACAGAGCGAGACTCTGTCTCAAAACAAAAACAAAAACCAAAAACCAAAGAGGCTTAGAGGAGTAGTGGGATGGAGAGGTGTTATGAGAAGGAGGCTCTGCTGCAGACAGAGAAGCTGAGAAGGGCAGGGTGGAGATGGTGGAGCTTCAGGAACCAGGAGCCAGGGACTTGTGGGATCCAAGGGAAGGCATGAGATTGGGGCAGGGTGGCCCTGGCTAAATGCTGCTGGCAGGACAGGCCCATAAGCGCGGGTCCTTGCAGCATCCCCAAGCCGCTGCCCTGCATGACTTCCAAGGGACTCTCCTTGCAGCTGCGCCAGGGCCCCGCGGGGCTGGGGCTCAAAGAGCATGCGGAGCCTCGGCTGGTGGAGACCCAGAATGTGCGACTTATTGAGGTGGAACGCAGTGTGAGTGTGGGCCACAGTGAGCCTGGGGAGGTGCCCCATGCAGTTGTGAGTGTGGACCCACAGTGGGTCCTGGGCGGGGGGGGTGCCTGGTGCAGTGTGAGCCCTGGGGAGGTGCCCTGTGCAGTGTGAGTGTGGGCCCACAGTGGGCCCGGGGGTGGGGGTGCCCCGTGCAGTGTGATTGTGGGCCTGTGGTAGGCACTGGGGGTGCCCCCGCCACCTGGCTACCGCTAACCCCCACTTCTGGGCAGAATGCAACACTGGTGGCAGAGAAGGCAGCTTTGCAGGGGCAGCTGCAGCACCTGGAGGGGCAGCTGGGGAGCCTGCAGGGCCGTGCCCAGGAGCTGCTGCTGCAGAGCCAGCGGGCGCAGGAGCACAGCAGCCGCCTGCAGGTGGGTGGCCGCCCGGGTGCCCATCCCTGCCCATGTACTGCCCCCTCCTGCCCCTTTTGGATCGTCCTGTGGCCTTTTTCTATCCCAGCTCCCAGCCAGCTGCCCCAGCTCTTCTACAGCTTCATTTATCCTTGTCCTCTGACCCCAGCCACCATTGTGCACCATCCTCCCTGCCGCTGTCTCCTCCTACCTGCTGCCAGCCCCCACATCTGCACCTGTGTCCCCCTGCCCTCTCACCGTCCCAGCCCTCCCCTCCACAGGGAGCCTTTAGTCCCATTCTGCCCTGTGCCCCTCCCGGACAGCCTGGCCCAGCCAGCCTCTGCCGCCTCTCTCCTGCTCGCCATCAGCCTCTGGCTGGGGTTTGTGCTGCTTCCTGTGCCCCCAGCCCTCTGCCTCCTCCACAGCTCTCTCCTTGTCTTGAGCCCTACCCTCTGCCCTTAGCCCCCGACCCTTCACCCGATTTCCAGCCAGGGGTTCCTCCCCAGCAGCCTCTGCTTCCCTCCTCCATCCCAGGCCGAGAAGTCTGTGCTGGAGATTAAGGGCCAGGAGCTGCATCGGAAGCTGGAGGTGCTGGAGGAGGAGGTGCGGTCGGCGCGGCGGTCCCAGGAGGAGACCCGCGGGCAGCAGCAGGCCCTGCTTCGGGACCACGAGGCCCTGGCACAGCTGCAGCGGCGGCAGGAGGCCGAGCTAGAGGGACTGCTGGTGCGGCACCGAGACCTCAAGGCCAACATGCGGGCACTGGAGTTGGCTCACCGGGAGCTGCAGGGCAGGTGAGCATCACCAAATGCCCAGCTCCTCCCCGGCACCCCCTATCTGCCAGAGAAGACTCCCCTTGGCAGGTCTGACTCCTATCAGGAAGCACCTCCACCTCCGCTCTGTGACACCCCCGCCACTGATGTGCTCCCCACACTTCTAGGCTGGGCTCCCCGTGGGGCTCACCTGTTGGGAGTGGTGGGCACCTGGCATGGCTTTCTGCCCAATGGCTTTCCCTGGGGGACCTATGCTTAGGAGGTGACAGACCTCCTCTGGGCTCAGATAGTCCAGCTGGCTGCTTGTGGTGGCCATAGGTTCACGCAGCCCTCTTAGCCCCTTGTCCATCCCAGGCATGAGCAGCTGCAGGCCCAGCGGGCCAGCGTGGAGGCACAGGAGGTGGCCCTACTGGCAGAGCGTGAACGCCTGATGCAGGATGGGCATCGGCAGCGGGGCCTGGAGGAGGAGCTGCGGAGGCTTCAGAGCGAGCACGACAGGTGCCGGCCCTGCCACAGCCCCTAGCAGCTCTCAATGGCCCCATCCCGAAAGTGGGTTGGGGGTGTGGGGTCCTGCCTGGCCTCCCCTCTCCGGCATAACTCCTCTGGCCAGCACTCGGACTGAGGACCCAGGTCCCTTGGAGAACAGCTCTCCTTGCCTCCCAAGGGCTCAGCTGCTGCTGGCAGAGGTGTCTCGGGAGCGGGGTGAACTTCAGGGTGAACGTGGGGAGCTACGGGGCCGGCTGGCGCGGCTGGAGCTGGAGCGGGCACAGCTGGAGATGCAGAGCCAGCAGCTGCGCGAGTCCAACCAGCAGCTGGACCTGAGCGCCTGCCGGCTGACCACACAGTGTGAGGTGTGGATGGGGGGCCGGCGGGGGTGTGGGTGTGCATGGGGGAGCAGGAAGCCTATACCCAGGTGGTCCTGAGCTGGGTCCCACCCCCTGACCCATGTTGCCCTCCTGCCAGCTATTGACACAGCTGCGGAGTGCCCAGGAAGAGGAGAACCGGCAGCTGCTGACTGAAGTGCAGGCCCTGAGCCGGGAGAACAGGGAGCTCCTGGAGCGCAGCCTGGAGAGCCGGGACCACCTGCACCGCGAGCAGCGGGAGTACCTGTGAGTGGGCCGACTGGGAGCGGGGTAGGGCCTGCATCCCCTTTGGGCGTTCCTGGGGAGATCCCCCAGTGAGGGCCTAGGGACAGGGTTGGAGCTGACCTTCCAGGTCAGTCCGATCTGTGGCATGGGACCAGTGCGTCCTCGCTGCAGCCTGTGCCTTGCTACTGCCTTGGCTTCCCTGGGCCTCACACCCACCTCTCCCTTCTCACTCCTGCCAGGGAACAGCTTAATGCCCTGCGCCGAGAGAAGCAGAAGCTCGTGGAGAAGATCATGGACCAATACCGCGTGCTGGAGCCTGGGCCCCTGCCCCGGACCAAGTGAGCAGCCCTGTCACCTCCCTCAGGCTGGACATCCTACTAACCTCTGCCCCTGCCCTGGCCTCTGACCCCAGGCCCAGCTCAGGTCCAGGCCCCATGAAGGTCAACCTGGCCTTTGCCATCCCCAGGACACCCTTTGCTCCCTCCCTCCTCCCTGTCCTGATCCCGTCTTGTGCCCTCTTGCCCCCAGGAAGGGCAGCTGGCTGGCAGACAAGGTGAAGAGGCTGATGCGGCCCCGGCGGGAGGGGGGCCCCCCTGGGGGGCTGCGCCTGGGGGCCGATGGGGCTGGCAGCACCGAGAGCCTGGGGGGCCCCCCGGAGACGGAGCTTCCTGAGGGCAGGGAGGCAGATGGGACAGGTGGGTCTGGGGGTCAGGTGGCCAGGATGGTCCCTGCCCCACATCCTCTGCCCCTACCCTGGCACCTGCCTCACTGCCTGGCCTGCATGCATGACCCCATTGGCCTTCCCTGAGGCCTGCTCAGCCTGCCCTGATGCCACCAGGGGCTCTTTGCCCTGGGCCCTGCAGGGTCACCCTTGGCCCACACCTCTCTCCTGCCTGTGCTATCCCCCACCCAGCCTGCCCCATCTGCAGAGGAGCCCAGGATCTGGGAGGTGCAGAGGACTCTAGGGAGAGGTCATTGATCCTAGACTGCAGATGAGGAGACTGAGGCCCCGGGAGGGGAAGCTCCTTGCCCAAGGTCATGCAGTGAGTTAGTGTCAAGGCCAGCACAGGGCCAGCGTCCTGCTGCCCCCTCATTTGCCTGGCTCCTACCCCCTCTCTGCACCTCCTCTCCCTGGCCCTGGGCAGCTTCACCCACTGGCCCCTCCACTCCACCTAGGCCCCTGCTCCTCTGACCCCCTCCCTACATGAGCCTCAGCCCCCTTCCCCTCCTCTGAGTCCCTTCCTGCATGAGCCTCAGCCCCCCTTTCCCTTCTCTGACCTCCTCCCTGCATGAGCCTCAGCCCCCTCCCCTCCTCTGACCCCCTCCCTGCATGAGCCTCAGCCCCCTCCCCTCCTCTGACCCCCTCCCTGCATGAGCCTCAGCCCCCTCCCCTCCTCTGACCCCCTCCCTGCCTGTGCCTCTTGCAGGGTTCCCTTCCCCGGCACCCATGCGCCGGGCCCAGAGCTCCCTCTGCCTGCGGGATGAGACCTTGGCAGGCGGGCAGCGGCGGAAACTCAGCTCAAGGTTCCCGGTGGGCCGAAGCTCTGAGTCATTCAGCCCTGGGGACACCCCTAGGCAACGATTCCGACAGCGCCGTCCAGGGCCCCTGGGGGCACCCATCTCCCACAGCAAAGGTGAGGGACAAGGGTCACTGTCCCAGCCGGCCCCCCAACTCTTTGTGGACCCACCAGCTGCTTGGGGGAGGAGGCTTCCTTCTTGTCCCCTGTGTCTCCTGCAAGCTCTGTCCACTTCCGCCCTGGCCCTGGGCCCAGTGGTTGCCTTGTGCCTCCCAGGACCTGGTGTGGGATGGGAGAACTCTGTTGAGACCCTCCAGGAGCACGAAACAGATGCCAACCGAGAGGGTGAGTGGGGGCCTGAGGAAGGAGCAGCGTTCTTTGTCCTGCCTGGGACCCCTGGCAGAACCTCATTCATCCATTCTGTCATTTGACAATGATCCTTTACCAAGTGCCAGGTGACGTGCTGGCAGGGGACACAGCAGGGAACATTCTGGTGTGAGGAGGCAGATAGTAGTAAACAATTTGCCTAAAAATAATTATTATCTACAACAGCCCTGTCCACTAGAAACACGGTGTGAACCACCTGATAATTTTAACTTTTCCAGTAGGCTCACCAGAAAAAGTGAAAAGAGACAGGTAAAATGGATTTTAATAACATTTAACTCAATATGCCTACACTATTACCATTTCAGCATGTAGCCAGTGTAAAAATCATGAATGAGCTATTAGACATGACTTTTATTTTTTTTTGAGATGGAGTTTCACTCTTTGGCTCACTGCAACCTCTGCCTCCCAGGTTCAAACGATTCTCCTGCTTCAGCCTCTCGAGTAGCTGGGATTACAGGCATGGGCCACCACGCCAGGCTAATTTTGTATTATTATTATTTTAGTAGAGATGGGGTTCCACTATGTTGGTCAGGGTGGTCTCGAACTCTTGACCTCAGAAAGTGCTGGGATTACAGGTGTGAGCCACTGCGCCCGGCCAGATGTGATTTTTTTCATAGTAAGTCTTTGGCAGTTTGGGAGGCCAAGGCAGGCAGATCACTTGAGGCCAGAAGTTAGAAACCAGCCTAGCCAACATGGTGGAACTCTGTCTCTGCTAAAAATACAAAAATTAGTCAGGTATGGGATGCCTGTAATCCCACCTACTCAGGGGACTGAGGCAGGAGAATCACTTGAACCTGGGAGGCGGAGGGTGCAGTGAGCCAAGATCACGCCATTGCACTCCAGCCTTGGTGACAGAGTGAGACTGCCTCAAAAACAAAAAACAAAAAACATAGTAGATCTTTGAAGCACGTCACAGGCCAGCCCCATCTCACCTGCTCAGCTCACCCAGGGCAGCTCAGCCCTATACCCCATGGACCATCAGGAGGCGCTAATGCTCTGGGAAGAAAGGAGAGCAGGGGAGGGGTCAGGAGCTCAGGACCTCTGGGCAGGCTAGTTGGAGTTTTAGTAACTTGGGTGCTGGGGTGGGCCTCAGAGAGGAGGTAAAGTTGGAGCAAAGACTTGAGGGGAGAGTTTATCGTGTGGACACACCTGAGAACACCATTCTGGGCAGAGGGAACCGCTGAGGGAAGAGCAGGCATGGTGCAGCTGGAAGCGGTGGGTATTGGCAGGTCGGGGGTGGGCAGAAGGTGCTCGAGCCTGTAGGCCTCCTGGGACTCTGGAAGTCCTCCTGAGGGAGGCGGGTCTGAGCTGAGCCTTTCCCTCTAGGCCCCGAGGTACAGGAACCGGAGAAACGTCCCCTCACCCCGTCCCTCAGCCAGTGACACCATGGGGACAGCAGGATCGGGAGTGCAGCCCTCTTGCCGCTGGAGTGTCAGCGGGGGCCCCAGGCAGCCCAAGAGCTCAGGGAGCCAGGGCCCCCAAGGGGAGTCCTTGGACAAGGAGGCCTGGGCCTGGAGATCCTCCATGGTCGGTGCCGGGGCCCGGAGGTGGAGCTGGGACAAGTGTGTGGACAGGGGGGACAGCTGGTCCCCACGAGTGGCTCTAGGCCGGGATTCTGGCTCTTCCAGGTGGCTCCCGCTGAGGCAGCGGTCTCTGGGGGATCCCCCAGCTGAAGGAGGCTGGCAGGAGTAGGCAAGAGAGCCCCCTGCCCAGTCCAGGCAGGGAGCTGAGTCCCAGTGCCGGGGGACTGTGGCCTGGGCTGATCTTGAGCCTCAGCTGGACATGAGGGCCATGAGAATAAAGCTGAACTGCAGCCTTCTGAGTCTTGCTCTGTCTGTTGGCTGCATTGGGTACCTCGGGGCACCAGGAACACATGCCGCCCCAGTCCTCCTGGTTGGCGGGGGTCTGTGGGCAGAAGGCCCCTGCCTGGACAGGGCGACACAGGCCTTTCTCCAGGGGCTTGGCCAGTCCGGCTGGCCAAAGCCCGAATGTCCTGGTGAGGTGGAGAGGGGATGACATCCTGGGTAGCCAGCAGGGATTGGAGTCTAAGATCTGGGCTAAGGGGTGGGGGGCAGTTCACAGCCTGGCGGGGCATCACTTAATGCCAGGGGCTGCCAGGAGGGGTGGGAGGGACACTGGCTCTCTGACCAGGGCCTCTAGCATGATGCCTGAGAAGGGGGGCAATTAGGTTGAGGTGCAGGATGTGAGTCAGGGTACCTGGGGCCGCCCAGGGGAGGGTGGGGCTGCCCAGGGCTGAGATGAGGCAGCCTGAACTTGGGGGATGCAGAGCTGGGAGGGGCAGCCCGACCAGCCTCCCAGGTGTGACCTGCAGCAGCCTGAGTCCCTCCTCCTCTCAGCCAGGGCTTCACAGGACACAGCGTGGGGTGGACATCCTGGCCTCTCCAGCTGGCAGAGGAGCAGCGAGCCCCTCCCCACCGGTCTCAGGGCCTGGGGCCTCGTGGCTGTCCCACTTTGCTAGGTGGCCCCATTGGTGGTCAGGAAGGGGAAGGCAAGAAGAAGAAGAGGGAGCAGAGGCTCAGGAGGACCAGTCAGCAGGGGCCCTGGGCCTCATGGGGAGAGGGGGCAACCCCGTGTGGCACTGACATCTCTTCTTGAGGCCTACTCAGGGCTCTAAGCTGGGTACTGCATCAGGTTAGGAGACAACAGGGGCAGCACACATGAGGTGCGCATGGCACCTGGTGGGCTCTGCATGGTGGCTGGGGGCTGATGTGATTCTGCAGGCCCCCTCTACAGAGAGCTGGTCAGAAAACTGGCCACTCCTCCTTGCCATGGGGTCCCAGGCTTGGCTCCAGCCCCCTCTTGGTGATGAGGCTCCTCTTTGCAAAGGCCAGTCCGCTGGGGAGTGGGACCCTGGTGGCCACCCCCAGGAAGGTGGAGTAGGGCAGGCCCCACTGCCTGAGAGCTGAGTGACTTCCAGGATTCAGACCCCTTCTCAGCCTGCCCAGCACCAGGCACCTCGCCCCCCATCTTGGGGCACAGACTCCTGGTGTCCTCCAGCCACTGGCTGCAGCCGGCATTCCCAGGCAGACCCCTGTCTTGGGGGCAAATGCCCCAGAGGCTCCAGGTTACCCACGGGCTCAGGGATGGCTCCCACGGGGTGTTTCCAGTTCCCCGGAGAGTCGAGTAAGGTCCCGGAGCGCACGGCCCTGAGGCTTGGCCGGGGGGCTCGGGAGACAGGGCGTCCCCAGCCGGCTGCCCACCGGCAGCCCGGCGCTGTCACGTTCCAGCCGCCTGACTCAGGCCGCGTAGGGCGGGGAGCCGGGAGGCGGTGCCGGCGCCCGCCTCGGCCCCGGAGGCGGCACCAGGAAGCGCCCGCCCCGGCCGGAGCCGCCATGTAACCGGCGCCGCCCGGAGCCCGAGCCGCGCGGGCCCCAGCGACCCGCCCGCCATGGGGGACGAAGACGAGGATGAGAGCTGCGCCGTGGAGCTGCGGATCACTGAAGGTGGGTGTGGGGCCTGACTGCGGCTGCCCCGGGCGGGCCGGGACGGGTCATGGACCGGCTGGGTTCATTCACCCCCTGTGCCCACAGCCAACCTGACCGGGCACGAGGAGAAGGTGAGCGTGGAGAACTTCGAGCTGCTCAAGGTGCTGGGCACGGGAGGTGAGGACCCCCATCCACCGGGCAGGCGTCCCAGGCGCGTTGCCCCTGACCTCCTGCCTGCTCACTCCTGGGCCTGGGCCAGGCCACTGAGCAGGCCCCCCACCCTTTCCCGGCACAGCCTGCCTTGCCTGCCCCGCCCTGCCTTGCCAGGGTTTGCATGCCCACTTCCAGGGCACTCCACGTTGACATCACTCCTCCCTCCGCGGTCCTGTGCGTGCATGCCCCCCTGGATTTGCCAACACCTTGGGGAGGGGGACTTGCACCCCTCTCAAGTTATTTGCATAGCTCCTCCCTTTCTTTCAATATGGGATCCCCTCCCACATTTTGCAAACGCCCCAGCGCTGGTTTGCGCATCTCTTCCCCAGCCAGGTGCACACCTCTGCCTCCCTTCCTTGCACTGGCATCTTTTCACATCCATCTGATCTCTCGCAGATTTGCACATGCCCCGCCCCCACGCCTCGAAGCAGGCCCCCTGGAGTTGCATGCTCTCCAGCCTGGTTTGCACATCCTTTCCCTGGTTTTGCTGGGCACCCTCCCGGGGTGTGCACACCCTTTCCTTAGAAGGCTCTGCCAGCTTTTTGCACACCTGCCTCTTGCCCCGGCTCCTTCGCCTAATTTGCACACCCTCCTGGGTTGGCATCGCCCCCACCCCCCAAGCCTGCACCAATCTCCCGCTCACAGCCTACCCTCCACCCACTCGCTGCTCCCACAGCCTACGGCAAGGTGTTCCTGGTGCGGAAGGCGGGCGGGCACGACGCGGGGAAGCTGTACGCCATGAAGGTGCTGCGCAAGGCGGCGCTGGTGCAGCGCGCCAAGACGCAGGAGCACACGCGCACCGAGCGCTCCGTGCTGGAGCTGGTGCGCCAGGCGCCCTTCCTGGTCACGCTGCACTACGCTTTCCAGACGGATGCCAAGCTGCACCTCATCCTGGGTGAGCGCACGCCACATCCCAACGGGGGTGGTGTGGCTGGGGGCAGGCGAGGCCACCTGACGGGGCTGCTTCCTAACTTCCACTGCACCTCCCAGACTATGTGAGCGGTGGAGAGATGTTCACCCACCTCTACCAGCGCCAGTACTTCAAGGAGGCTGAGGTGCGCGTGTATGGGGGTGAGATCGTGCTGGCCCTGGAACACCTGCACAAGGTGGGTGAAGACCTGGTCACAGGCTGTTGCCATGGGAACTGGGTCTGGGCCTTCGAAGGAATCTGCAGGCAGGGCAGCCTCAGGCTTCCCCCTGGGCTTCCTGGGGGGCCAGTGGTGAGCTGGGTGGGAACTGGAGCTACTTCCCCAGGACCCCTTACAAGAAGCCTCATCGCTGCCTGCTGGGGTCCCCTCCCCTGGCACCTCCTCGAAGGGGCTTTCCTTTTTCAGGGAACTCAGGGCTGCATTCACAGAACTTCCTCAAATGGAAACCTCATGGCCTGGCTCCAAAGGCCCCCTTGAAATGGGGCTCTTCACGCAGACTTTCCTCTCTCTGGGACCTTGGGGCCTGTCCCACGGGGCCCTCCTTCTTTGCTTTATATCTTTTTTTTTTTTTTTGAGACGGAATCTCGCTCTGTCACCCAGGCTGGAGTGCAGTGGCGCGATCTTGGCTCATTGCAAGCTCCGCCTCCTGGGTTCAGGCCATTCTCCTGCCTCAGCCTCCCAAGTAGCTGGGACTACAGGCGCCCGCCACCACGCCCGGTTTATTTTTTCTATTTTTAGTAGAGACGGGGTTTCACCATGTTAGCCAGGATGGTCTTGATCTCCTGACCTCGTGATCCACTCGCCTCGGCCTCCCAAAGTGCTGGGATTACAGGCGTGAGCCACCGCGCCCGGCCTGCTTTATATCTTAAATGGCCTTTTTTATTCAGTGGCTCTGCCCTGAAGACCCCCCTCTACAGGCAGATGACCTTCTCTGGGGGGGGGGGTCTCCTTATCCTGAGCAGGGCCAGGAGCTGCAGGAGCTGGGGAGGGTTTGGGAGAGGAGGCCTCAGCACCTCTCTTGCTCCTACCAGCTCGGCATCATTTACCGAGACCTGAAACTGGAGAATGTGCTGCTGGACTCCGAGGGCCACATTGTCCTCACGGACTTCGGGCTGAGCAAGGAGTTCCTGACGGAGGAGGTGAGTGGAGGTTGTCTCTGCCTGCAGTGTCCCATTTGATCCTCCTTCCTGCCTCTTCCTGCCCTGGGCCTGCATTCTGGGGCTGCAGAAGTGAATAGCTCCAAGAAGTTTCCACAGCTCAACTCTCCAACCTCACAAGTTGAGCGAGTCTTACTCTGGGCCTTGTGGGGCGCTGGAGCACAGGAGAGGCTTGGCCATCTAAACAGGACTTCTTGCCCTCCCAGAAAGAGCGGACCTTCTCCTTCTGTGGCACCATTGAGTACATGGCCCCAGAAATCATCCGTAGCAAGGCGGGGCATGGCAAGGTGGGTTGGCAGGGAAGTGGGGCTGGGGGAGGTGGAAAGGAGGGGTGTGAGGCAGGGGAGATGCAGGCTCTCACCCTGGCTCCACCTACAGGCTGTGGACTGGTGGAGCCTGGGCATCTTGCTCTTCGAGCTGCTGACGGGGGCCTCGCCCTTCACCCTGGAGGGTGAGAGGAACACGCAGGCTGAGGTGTCTCGGTGAGTAGAGCTGGACGTGGAGGGCGGCCAGGGGGCTGCAGGGCCTGCCTGGGCAGCGCTGTGGGGGGGGGGCTTGCTGCCCCTGACGCCCCCCCAATCCTCCCAGACGGATCCTGAAGTGCTCCCCTCCCTTCCCCCCTCGGATCGGGCCCGTGGCGCAGGACCTGCTGCAGCGGCTGCTTTGCAAGGATCCCAAGAAGCGATTGGGCGCGGGGCCCCAGGGGGCACAGGAAGTCCGGAACCACCCTTTCTTCCAGGTGAGGCTCCTGACTCAGGGCCCCACACCCCCTGGTGCATACCCAGGTGGGGCTGCTGTTCCAGGTTGAGGTTGTGCCTGGCCAGTTTCACTTTATTTAGAAATCCCCCCAGAGAAAGAAAGCAAGTGTGTGTAAGCTAGGTTTCTCTTCACATCCATCCCCACTGAAACTTGGCAGATGCATTCCTGAAAGAAAGGACTCTAGGTTCATTGGCTGTTGGGACTGTCAGGGATTTGAGAATGGATTGGTTGGTCCTTTCATTGGACAGACCCAGAGAAGGCAGGTGACCTGCCCCAGATGGCACAGTAAATGGTGCGGAGCTGGGAACAGACCTTGGC